GATCTTCGAGGGCGGATCCTGGCTCAAGGATCGACTTGTTGATGCTTCGACCCGCGGATGGGTTGACGATTGTTACGTATGCGCGCCCGTTAGTTTTGTTGACCGTTGTGTGTCACGCATTTATTTGTGGCGTTTGCCGTTAGTGCGCTGCTTGCCGGGCTTGCCGCGAGCATCTTCCCGTGCCTGGTATCCTCCCGTGCCGGTACCGAAGGGGCCTGGCATGTGTCTGATTTGATCCTCCGCGGTCGGTCCGCAGCCGGCAGTCATTGATGCGAAGGATGCCATGGATACGGTGTTGGGAGGTGCTGAGCTATGGAGTATGACTACATACATGAATCGGACGGCGACTCCCCCAAATGCGTTGGAACCATGATTGTCCATTCAGTGGAAACCTCGAAGGCGTTCGCATCGTGCGGGGAAGAGTAAACGACCCTCGGCATGATGCCCTTCAATAGCCCCTAGCTCCGTCGCTCGAGCGCCTGCACGGCTCAAACTCGGAGCGAACCCCAAAGCCGTCACCAGGAGCATATTCTGCAAAGGACTCGCAGCGAAAAGTTCACGGTGAGCTCATGCCCAAAAGTTCAGGTTTTGGATAGCGGGCATGTTAGCCCCGGTAAGCTTCGTGTACCCTTCGCGCCAGCAGCGACAGCGCCCCAGGACCACAGGGAAAGGTGAACATTGTTCACCCAAGCTTACAACACACCTCTCGGGGAAGCTCCAGCAGAAATCTATTCGTAAATCTATAAAGCACAGCTAGAGACTTACGAAATCAAAGGATTTAGATCATCCGCCTGGCGCGCGTGGTCGTCAGCCACGCACCCTGTTGCATTCTTGTCGAAAACATGTTATCTGAACTCAGCCGGTCGTGCCGGCGCAGTCGTGCCGACGCAGTGGTTTGCCTAACGTGTGGTCTTACCTCCCAAACCCCATGGGTGACAGCAGTGTCCCGTCTGCCGCATCTGTGCGCCTGGTTGTACATCTTTGGCGTCGATGTGTCGACACATTTCAAGCGGGAGACATGTTATTTTTCTTCACCCAATCCCTTTTCTTCACACTCTGTTTCATGACGCTGCGGCTCTCCTAATCCCAGGACATACTGGAGCACAGGTTTCGCACATCCGCGCGAACCTAGGGACACACAACGCCCCCACGGCCGTGATGGCGATGGAAAGGTCAGAGTTGGCGGACCAGAACCGAGGGTAACACGGGTCTTCCCGCATGAACTCCACCCGGAATGCACGCGCCGGGGAGGATTTCAACGTCGCGAATTACAGGGGAAAGATCATGTTGGCTGTGACAAAGGCCGAGCGGGCTACATATGTGCGGGCTCGTTCGCGGAACTTGCACGTTGCCGTAATCATGCCTCGCTACTTGGCCCTCAAGAAGACTCGGGGTATACTATAGACTAATAGGAGCGTGATTCACGGCGTAGATGGAAAGTTCCGATGTTAGAGTAGTTTTAGTATACTAGACAGCGGGGTGGCAAACAAACAGTAGTTTGTTGGATGACTTCGCGTAGAGGGGTGGTAAAGACCTTGAGTATTATAGATCCGAGTTGAACGGTTCCGATAGCCGCGGAGTGGAAGTATTGTCGACTGCAGGCGTTCTCGTGTCGAATGAGTGTCGTTGCGTACATATTACGTGGCTCATCTAATGTATCTGTGTAAAATGGGGTCGCAAACGACCGGCGGGCTGCCTGTCATGGACTGTGCCTCCGCCTGAGGGGTGGGGGAGGGGGGCGCCATACGGCAGTTCTTTAGACAAGCGGGACAAAATATCACGGGCGATGTCACCCGATAGTGAACAGCATGCATCGTGTTGTACAGGTACTGTCTTGTTTTCCTTAGATAGTCTCAAAAGTATTGAAGTTGTTGGGCCGTGTTTCGCAGCGCATGAAACGGGAGCGACAAGCCGTACTTACCTGACTTTACCTCGATGGGTCTCGAGTGCTTGTGATTTTCCCATTTCAATTGATTCCGTTTGTTCTTTGGTGTTGATGGCCAAATCAGGGAGATCGACGAGGCGACCTCCAGAGTTGGGTCTTCGTTTGCAACTTTGGTAAAATTCCCGTCCGACCTTCCTTCTCCGGTCATACTGTATTGGGTTGGGTTAGGTCCTATTGGGTAGTGCTTCAAATCGGCGGTCCCAACCCCCACGTGGTCCCCCGAAAGGCCAACATGCAACATCCGGGGTTCAAATGCAGAAAAATGTATCCGACACTCAGTTAAGCTGCACCTTTAACCTCCTCGACCCCTGCATCAACATCTTCCGAAAGAAAAATACCGTTTCTCTCAAAATCTTCGAGCATTTCCCCGTACCCGTCGTTGTCGCCAGACCCCTCGCCCCCTACCCCTCCTCCTCCGTCACTCCCCTCCCCACAGTCGTCCCCCCAACACGCGGGGTCGATCGGCTGGTCGTTGTAGAAATCCTCGAATTGCCCGTGCAATTCCACTCTGTTAGATATACTCGTAGCATAGTAATGTGGTTGAGTATGGGACATGGATCTACGGAGATTGCAGTTGGTAGATCGCGGAGGAACAGGGAGTTTCTGCTTGGTTTCTTCGGAGATTCGATGAGTGATCTGAATTGCGTGACGGATAGGTGTGGTGACGCCCTACTCTTCGGCTGCTCGGCCTGGAGTGGTCTCTGCCCTTCCCTCTTCCCTCTAATACAAGACTTTCCCATCTCGGCCCTCACTGGCCGAGCTGCCTTTCTCCACAAACCTACAAGCTTCGGCCTACCCGGTTTATCCAACACGCTAGCGTTAACGACTTTGTCGAGGGTGATTGGGTAGCGCCGATGGGCAGCCGCATGCGCGGCTGACGACACCCAACCAGACGAAGAGGCCACCAACGGCGAGGGCCTGCACAGCAGCAGCAACCCCAAGACCTACAGCAGCGCCATCGTCAGCTGCAGCCCGCCGTCTACTTGGGTAGTAGGCCCGCTCAGGCACGTGATGACTTTTCAGTTTCCTACTGGACTGTTGTTGGTATCAACACACCCATTGCGGTGATGCGGTACTCATAGTGCCGTCCGATTCTAAACGCGGCAATACGCCGTGCGGTACTGCCGTCAAACGCCAACGCTAACGCCACCTCCACCTCCACCCGGCACGGCCGTCAAACGCTCTCTCCTACTCTTTCTCTAGTATAATCGCGGCAACACGCTGCGCGGTAATGCCGTCAAACGCCAACGCTTACTCAATCAAAACGCGACAATACGTCGTGCGGTACTGCCGTCAAACTCCACCGCTCGGTCAAAGGCCGACTACCTGTAGCACATGGGTAGACCCAACCTAGGTTACCAGTAATCCTCAAAAACTGATGCCAGTTTCTAAACTGATGATATGATGTGTGCGTGTAGCATGGTATTAGAAATAGTATTGTGCGTAATGAAATGCAGTGATCGGCGAGGTTTTTGCTTTGTGATCCTGACAGCCGTGCTGAGACCAACTTTCTCTCCCCGGCAATAGCGTGATCAACGTTTTATCTGGGCTCTCTTTGGTAGCTACTTTTTGAGCAGCAGGTTTAGCCTGATCAAAAATGCGTGATCAACGTTTTATCTGGACTCTTTTTGGGTAGCAGGTTTAACCTGATCAAAAAATTTTCATGTCTTGGTTGTGTCAGCGAGTGCCGGAGACGTGTCAAGTCTCAACGAAGTGCAACATTGGTACCTCCACCTTGTTGCAGATTAAAAATTCACAATATTGACGAAATAAATGCTGATTTCCTAATATTGTTGTACGTTGTCTTGAGATTGCTATTTGTTGTGAGATTGCGGTTCCAAAAGTTGTTAAGGTTTTGACTTAGGATTGATTACCCTATGGTTAGAACAGTAGCAGCAGCTTGATTACTATTTTGCAACAGAGGACTAATCAACCTCCGTTTCAGGATGATATTCAGCTATTTATGGTGTGGCGATATCGCATCGGCAATGAATTTCAGACAAACCATTCCACAAGTAGGGTCCGACGACTTGAACGTGTGTTTCATTTATTGTTTTTTCTGCTGCATGCAGTCACTACTTTGCAGAACCGGGGGGAATGTTTGTATGTTTGTGATTCTCCTCAGTAGTGCTGGTTTGTTCGGAACTAATCTGCCGCCATCATCCCCTCCGAACGCGCGACCTGCCCTGCACCACTGCCGAGTCAATCCTCTCGGAGCGACAATTGTTCTTCCCCCAAGTCAGGCGGACGCAAACATCGAAGCTCGAGCCGCGGCCAGCCGGAAAAGATGGCGGAAGGCGACCGCGGCGGAGGCGTGCGAATTGTCCGCGGGGGGGAAAACAATGGCTTGGGCAATGGGTTATTAAGCGCTGGAGCTTGATGATGCGCCGGCAAATGTAGGGGTTTCGAGTATTGTTTTGTTTTGGTTGGTATTAGATTGGATTTTGTGTTGATGTTGTCATTGTTTTGGTATTGGATTTTATTTTTGGTTTTTGATTTGGTCTGGACTTTCGGACTGGAACTGTTTGGTAATGGATTTTGATTTGGTTTTGGTATTAGCTTTTCGGATTTGCATAAATATTGTTTTTTCTTGAGCTTTCGACTGGATGGACTTTGAATGTGTTATTTTGGTCTGTGTTTCTGACTCCAACCCCTTCTCAAATCAGGGGGGCAGATCCCCCCGAGAAGAGGGGCACACTATCCTTTCAGGAGGAGGAACGGAAAGCTGATGTTTGGTTTCTGGAGTGTTACAATCAAGAAATATTCGCGTTTCACCTGCGGAAGTTGTCTTGACGTTGACCGGATGTTTTGGGGATATTGTTTGATCGGAATTGTGAGAGTAGCATTCGTTCCTGGTCGCGTTTTATCTGCGAACTGGGTACATTCTGTGTGTTCGGAAGCATCAAACATGCATATTTTATCCCTTGCGAAATTCATGTTGTCTTGGTATTCATGTAGGATTTGGGGATGACTGTATGCATCTGCAGTATTTCGAAGGCGATTATCCAGGATTGATCATTGTTTTGGAAAAGAATGATGGAAGAGTTCTTCCATAATTATGTTAACATGAATGGGTTGTTTAATGCCTTTGAGACGTAAGGGATGAAATGTATGGCGAATACAAATGCGACGAGATGCAGAGAGAGCAGATGGACCAATAGCAAAGCGTTTTCTGAGTTGAAGGATGCAGTGTGCTAAGAGACGTTTTTGGTTCAGGAATATTTGCATAATCGAGTTTTTGGTTCATTGTTTGTCACGGACGAATAGGAACGACGTTTTGGTTCGTAAGTGGATTTATGTTGCCTTGCCGTATCATTACGATGCATACGAGCAGGGGGGCTGTTAGATATACTCGTAGCATAGTAATGTGGTTGAGTATGGGACATGGATCTACGGAGATTGCAGTTGGTAGATCGCGGAGGAACAGGGAGTTTCTGCTTGGTTTCTTCGGAGATTCGATGAGTGATCTGAATTGCGTGACGGATAGGTGTGGTGACGCACTCCTCTTCGGCTGCTCGACCTGGAGTGGTCTCTGCCCTTCCCTCTTCCCTCTAATACAAGACTTTCCCATCTCGGCCCTCACTGGCCGAGCTGCCTTTCTCCACAAACCTACAAGCTTCGGCCTACCCGGTTTATCCAACACACTCCTTCCTCGTCCTGTCTACGTGCCCTCGCATCAGAATCGGCCAAATCCTGCAGAGTTTCCATCCATTGGAGCTCGTCTGTTTCGACGCTTTCACATTCGGTGCCGACCACGTCAACCTCCATCGCCCCCCCTCTCTGATTGTGTCCTGCCCCCATGCCTAAGAGATGGCGAATCACTGGGTACTCTCTCCCCTACACCGGGGTCTTTTCCCCCATTGTTGCCTCTAGCTTCGGCGGCGAACTGCTCGTTCAACTTTGCGAGCAGGACAGGCTTCGTGTCGCCCGTCAACATACGACCACCCGCTTGCGTAACAAGTGCCCGTAGACTAACCTTGAGTAGCCCCATTTTTATGCGCATGCACTCTCATTGCTGGGAGGATTAGCATGAGGTGTGAAGGCAAAATTACACGAATACGAAAACGACTCACCCACAGAATCGTCTGTATGACAACACGAACATCATTAAGGTTCATACGGGTTATGTCTACGGGGGGCACACATGCCCCGTGCAACGTCCACCTCGAAGGGACAACACTGGATATGCGTCACCCGAATACACCACCTTCACCCGCCCAACCGACTAACCAAAAGCTAGTACACGGCCAGTCCACCAAGCACGGACCAAAATCGCAATGCCGTAATGCGCTCTACACAAAAAAAGGTATGTGGACGTACGTCTCTGATATCAGCCTATGCCCACCTAGACATGCTACATGCACTACATGGAAACCCGGGAAAGAACCCAGTCTCCCCCCTCATCGATTGTGTTGCAAATGCAACTCAACGTTCTCCGGGCTGCATCCCCCTTCTCCGTGTGCGCCACTTCTTGAATAGCGTCATGCTCGATCCAAGCACGCAGGCGCTTTTCCCATGTGTCGAAGCGTTTCAAGGTGAACGCCGTCGCTGTCCTCGTCGAAGGCTTGTTTTTTTTCTCGTTTTCCAGGAGATTCAGAAGAGAGCCCCACGAGCAGACAATCAGCTCACGTGTAGGTTGCAGTGTCTTGACCTTTTCCCACATTGGCAGCATCCAATCGCACGTCTGATCGAGGTGGTTCATCACACTCGCCAGCATCTGCTCCATGATGTCATCCGCCGACCTTTCGAGCTTCCCCAAATGATCCTGCAGTACTGCCGATGCCACGGCCGAAAGGCAGACTACCAGTAATTAAGGACAGACACACGGAACGGATCAATGGTCAGAAACTAACAAAAAAACACAGGGGACTCTACTACACCACATCACCGTTTGACGCCTTTCACACGGCGAAGAGCATGTGGTAACCCTAACCCTAACGTGCATGTTACCCGTCAGATATGTGAAGGCAGTACAAACGCACGCATTCTCCGGGAGGGCCGCAGTTACCACGTCATGTTCACACCGCAAATAGCTGACGTTCCCAGCACATCTTTCCAGATAAAGCATAACTGTGGACTAAAGGAGCTCACCATGTCACCATTCGACGTGCCGGCGAGTTCCCTTGTTTCCAAACGACTGATATCGTCCTCACTCCCATCTGACACCCCGCCGTCGTCGTCCTCCACAGTTCCTGGTTTGTAGGGGAAGGTCGGGTCGGGATAAATTATGGAATCGGCCTACAGGGCATAACCCAACGTTTTCGGAGCATCCGATATCCATGCCATCATCATGAGCTCGTCTCTGCTCTTCAGCGACAAAAACGACACGGATGCTCTACCAGAAACGTTTCTACCAAGAGCACAAAAATCTAACGGCCATATATCTCTAAGTGTGTCATGAATTAAAAAGCAGCACAAACAGCATTTGTCCCGTGCACTCCAACCCGTGGCCAAAACGAAGGCTTGTTACCCCCGATAATTCCCACCTCCCTGCTGGGTATTATCATAAATTGTCAACGCGCCTAGAGGGCAGCACCCTCTTCCCTCAGGTTACACTTGGACTAGTGCTTTCCGTCAACCCCAGGAACGGGAGCGAAACAACCCAATGAACTCGACAGAGAGCAAAAAAACGGCGGAAACAATCCCAAAAATTGTCGTGGCCCAGGGAAGGGGAGTATTACCTTCGGCGGGACAACAGTCGAATGTTTCATCATCGACATGGCCGTCCTCGTCGCTGGCGGTGCGGTCCGTAGGTGCGCCAGCACGCACATCCTCCCCCGGTACCTGTCCCTAACCCACCCAACCCACGATTGGAAGAGAGATATGTCCGGCACCCGGGGTGATTTGCATGTCGGTGTGAAGTGGAGGTACGTGGTTCCACGTCTCGGTACCCCACAAGCCCAAGTCAGTACATTTTCGGTTCCTCAAAAGTGAGTGGGCCACAACTCGATAGGAACCTCGTAATAAATATCAGCGCACGCGTTCGTCCACTATCCATGGACCTCTGGAGATGAGTAGGGGGAATTACGGCCGTATCCAGCCTCCATAACACTCACGGGGTCAAAACTAAGTGAATCTAGCTGCCTATTGCCTCCACGCGAGGACGTAGCATGCAACGAGACATGCATACTTCGCCTGCTCTAGACTAGTCTCGCCCAAACCAACAAAAGAACAGCATAGCCTACTTGTGGCACTGTACCTCGCGGGGGCAAGTCGAGTTGAACATGAGGAGTTTCACGTCGTAAATGGACCAAGGGGAATGACACAAGCTAATTCCGCTGCAAACCCGGGGGTGTTATGGAGTATGACCTGTTGAGCATTTTTTTCGACCGGGAGAGTTGGACATGATGCGGACTAAAAAAGGTGATAGTGCGTCGTTCAAAAGGTGACGCGATGCAACACAACAGGCGTCCATCCTTGCTATAGCCCTTCTCCCGCCGCTGCGGGAGATTATTCGTCACACCTACCGAGAGAGGTATAAGTGACAGCTTAAGGCCGCCCTCGACCGCCGGTTGTGTGGAGCGTATGACCGCCGGGACAAACAAAGCGGATTCACAACGAAGGAAAACAGCGGCCTCTTGTGTCAAACTTGCAACAGATCAAGGCGAGCAAGGGTGGGGGATGAGGTCGGCACGGGCACCTGCAACTTGTCATAAGCAAACGGTCACTCACATCTTCGAACATTCGTCTCATTACCACAGGCGAGAAGCTCCCCACGAGTTCTCCTGCCTCCTCGCCCGCATGACGGAGGTCACAGGTGTCCATTTGGGGCACGACGTCGGGATGGACCTCAACGAACACGCGACCAGGCACACATGGTTGACGGAGGTTAATATGGTCCGTTCGGGCAAATATTCACAATATTTTCCCCTGCACAAAGGTGCACTTTTCTCGGGGTGGGGGGGGGGG